TCAGCTGCTCCCACCCCACCGGGGCAGAGCTTGACTGGGTGGTAAAAACTGCAGATGAGCTTTTTTTTTGGAATTGCAGCAGGCTATTGTTTAGGACATCAGCTTTTTTTTTTTTTTTCCCTTTACAAGCTTATTTGATGCATGACAAAAGAAACTGCACTGTATTCAGTCTCCAGGGTCTTGGTCATACTGCTGCCCTGCCCCAAATGTGTACATGGCTCTGCAGCCTCTGGGCCTCAGGTGTCACCTGGTGGGAGCAGCCGCATGGTGGCACTGAAATCTGGCTCTTCTGCTTTAGTTCTCTTGGTAAGAGCTTTCCTTTTGTTTCTGCAAGGGGATCCAAGCAGAAGGGTGGATTTCCAGTCTTAGTAGTTGGTGGATGCAAGGGAGGTCTTAAGTTTACCATCCTTTCTGTGCTGAGTAATCTCCCAGCAGGTAAACTTCTTGTGTCTCCTCTCTGGAGGGTGCAGTGTGGCTCTGTCTAACCTTGCTGGGGGTGTCAGCTGGCAGAAGTGACCCTCTGAAGGCCTTGGCATCACAGACCTGCTTGGACAAGTCCTGGACTCTTCTAAATAGGCTTTTCCCAGCCCTGCAGTGAGCTTTGAGATGCTGGAACGTGTCTTCAGAGCATGACTTCAAAGAGTGCATATGTGTGTGTGTGTGAGTGCTCCCCTCACACTTGGGACCGTGCCAAGCGTGGCACGGAACCGCCTGCACTCGGAGCCTGCAGGTGCCAGACGGCGCTGGCAGCATAAAAACTGGGACCTGGCACACCCTGCTCCTGCAACAGGATTGCTATTTCCAGCCAGGGGGGAGCTCCCACTGGTGTTCTGAGTGTGGGGAATGAAGTTGAACAGAAGGACTTGGGCAGCTGTCAGGTGAGAGGGATTTTTGCTCTGGGAACTATTCAGTTGCTACATAATTTGACTAAAACGGAAGTGTCAGCACTGATCTCCTGCGGGCTTGTTCTACTGGGTGGTCTCCCACAGAGCCAAGCAGAAACACTTGTTGAGAGGACAGTGTGGTGGTGGCAGAGCTTCTGGTCACCTCTGATTGTCAGGAGTAAATTCAGTGGATGCTCTGTGTGGTGCTTAGTGCTGTGGACTAATTGACAGGAAGAGCTATGTGCTTCAAGGTCCTGGGCATGTGATGAGAGTCTTAACTGGCAGATGGAAAAGTTAAAGCTGTTCTGAGGCTGCTTGGGTTGGGTATTGGGCATCTTGCTGTTTGTTGGGGCACCTTTCCCAGAGCGTGCTGTGAATTGCAGTTTCTGCTGATGGCATGATCTGCTTGAGACCGGGTAAACTCATGTTAAAAGTGGTAGTTTAGTGGTTGGTAATTGGATTTAAAGGATAATTTGGGGTCTGTGGGCAGAGTTGGCCTAGAGTTAAAACTGGTGCCCTGTGAAACCACTGCTGAGGGCTCAGTGCTGCTTATTTCTGTGAAGTGTCTGGCTTGGCTGTGATGGCTCCAAGAGGCTTGTGCTCCCCTCAGCATCTTTAGGAGCCCTGGGATGATGCAGGAATTAAGGTACGTTGCAACAGCATTGGTCTGACAGCATTTACTGGGAAAAGCTCAGCTAAGGAAGATGAGTTGTTTTTAAAATGCTCCTTCTCCAGTGAGAGCCCTTGTGCGCCCATGACCTGGCAGTGCCACGTGGGTGTCATGGCTGCTCCACAGAACTGTTAAACCTGCCAGTGCTGGTCTGACACGCTTGGAGATGGAGCAGAGTGCACTGACTCTGGATCAGTCATTAAAGATGCAGCAGTGAGTCAAAAGTCAGCACCGAGTTTCTACTAAAAGCTCCTTTCCTGCTGTCCTCTGCAGAGGAGCATTGGCATGTGCCTCCCTTGCAGAGCTGAGCGAAGACAGGAAAAGTTCCAGAAGCTCCCCCCATGTGGCTGCTGTGTGAGCTGTGGATGGGAATCATGTTGACCCTTAAGTTAAAATTTCCCCTCCAGATGTGAAAAATACTTCGTTCTTCTGTTCATTTTCTCTTTTTCTGAGTGTTTCCCTTATGTTTACTGCTTCACTTTGGGACTGTCAAGGATGCTCTTGACACCAGGAGTTGCTGATGCATCTTGCTATGCACATTGGGAATGGTTATTCCCTTCCATGAGCTGTCTGGTTGGGAGGGGACACAAGGACAACTTTCCAGGAAGACCTGTGGCCACAAGGACTTTTGAGGGCTTTTAGGTGGCCAACCTGTGTTGGGCTCTTGTGCCCTGTGCCCCGGAGGCGTTGGGTGGGTTGGAGTGGGGAGTTAAAGCAGGATTCCATGGGAATGGGGGTGAGGAATAAAATCTGGTATCTCAGACTGGTGTTTCCTAGTCCACATGACAGGCTGGATTCAGGGCACTCAGCCTGGTCCCTAAGTAAGTGTAATGGAGGAAATGCTGAGCATGGCTCATTGCTTTTCCTCCTCATGTCCCTGTGAGTGGCTGTGGGTACCAAGTGAAGCTGAGTCAGGCCTACTGGGGTGATGTGGGGTCTCCCACAAGCTCAGTGTATCCTGCAGAGCGTGTAACCAAGTGCTGCCTGTGCAGAGCTGTCAAAGCTGCTGGAGTGGATGGAATCCATCTGCATTAACAGCAGAATATCAGTGCTTCCAGGACACGAGGTTAGGAGTGGGGCAATTGGAGCCAGCAGGATTTTGCCTGGTGGTAAATTTCCAGACAGTGGATCCCTTTAAAGGCCAGTAATTCTGCTACTCCAGTGTGCTCATACTGGCTTTACTGGTTTTGTAATTGTGGTGAGAGCTGAGCATTCCTGGTGGAAATGTATAACTGGTGGCAGGGGTAAGGGTGAATAAATGGGGCAGAGCAGCTGGACCCCATAATGCCTTTGGGAGCTCCTCATCGATGAGCCCCCAGACCCTTGCTGGTGCATCCTGAATAGAGTTGTGGTCCCTCATCTCCAGTAACCAGGAGATGAGGTGCAAGACAGCATTGCCTGGTAGCAGTCTGCCTGGTACTTGCTGCTCCAGGTCTCTGGAATGCTGTGCAGCCAGGGTCAGCACAGGCTTCTCCCTGCCTGGCGTTCCAAACCCACTGTCCTCGTTGGCTGGGGAGGAGGAGGGTGTCAGTGCGGGAGCTTTTGGGCCATGGGATCAGCTGCTTTGCTTTGCCTCTTGTGCTGTTTAGTGACTAATCAGATTTTAGAGCCTGTTGGACAGATTCAGCTGTCTCCCCGGAACAATACGCCAGCTGTATTTTTAAACACATCACGTGACTTCAGAGAAGTCAGTGGAGCAACATAGTGTGGCTCGCCTAGGCTGGGAGATGCTCTGCCCTGCTCTAAGCCCTGACTAGGAGGGAGCAACCTCCTCCCTAGCTCCAGCCATCTTCATTCCCTGGCCTCCTGGGGCTCTGCCCAGGTAAGGACTGCTGGGCCAGCTGGGATTTCCCGTGGCTGCAGGGCTGGGTGTGAGCACAGGTGCTGCTTGTCAGGAGAGCCAAGGGCAGAATGTGCCTTTCTAGGTGTGGTCAGAGGTGAGTGTATAGTCCTATGCTGTAGCCAGAATAGGGGAAACTTGCAGGGATATGGCTCTGCAAATGTGGGAAGATGCTGTGACTGTCACTCAGGGCTCTATTGGGTTGAGGGAGGTGCTTCAAGTAAAAGATCTGCCTGTACCTGTCTGGGATCTCTGGTGTTGTGAGGTTTCTTTCTAAGTGTGAGACTGGAGATGCCAGTTCCACAGCAGGTGTGCCTCTGGATAACACTGCTTGGAACAGGTACATCCCAGCATCTCACCTCAGGCACCTCAGCAGCTTTCTCTGGTGCTGATACCGCATTGTCCTGGTGTCTGACTGTAACGCAGTCGAGCATGATGGCATTTTTGCTTTCCTGCTTTGGGAGGTGTTTAGGATTATTAATCCTCATCTGCACAGGAGCTGCTGAAAATCAGGGTTAAAGCCCTGTGGTCCAGCTAGCTGAGATCAGGTGGGGCTGGAGGATCTCAAGCGGATCCCAAACTTACTTTGCTGAAAACTGAAAGCTTCAAGACAAGCTGCCTTGCTTTTCAAGCTCTGAATAATTGAAATCATTTCTGAACACTTTACTCTTTCCATTGGGTTTGGGGTACACATTCAGCTTGCTGAGACTTGCTCCTTTTGAATAGAGCTGGCTGGTGTTGTGCCCCTGTGGGATCGTGCGTGGCTGAGCCTGCCCTGTGCACCCTCTCCTCCTGGGTGGCAGCTGCCTGGACATCACTGACTGGGACATGACTTCTTGACCCCTTGGTGGTCTGGTGCTCTGTTTGCAGAGAGGAATTTGCCTGGATTCTGCTCAGTGGGAGGCAAACCTGCTGTGTGAGGGAAGCAGTCTGGCACGTACCTCTCTGTTGGCTCTCGGGCAGAGGCCTGACCAGACAGGCTTGTTGTGAACACACACCAGGGACGGGGTTCGCTGAGGGCTGCAAAGCCTCTCTGTCATCAGGCCAGGCTGGCACCTTCCTGGCTGCCCATAACCAACTTCTGGTGGGGCTGATGTGAGGCAGTATCCCACCTCTGAACCTGGAAATGCCTTCTGGTGTGTCAGGTGTGCTCCTCTCAGCCTGGCTCTTGGTGTGTGACCCTACTGCTGGGGAGCTGCACCCCTGGCTCTTAGCTTGCTCCAAGCTTGCTCTTGATGCACAAGCACCAAGAAATGGCGTGGACTGGTCAGAGAGGCCTGTCCAGAGCATATCTGAGGTCCATATCCATGTTTTGAGGTTTCTGATTCTGTCCCAGATGAAGTGGAATTTCTGGGTTGATCTCAGTTTCAGGGGATTAACCCACACTCATGTTTGTCAGCCACCAGGCTGCTGCTGCTGCTGGCTCTGGCTGTGCAGCACTATGGCACAACTGATGGCAAAGAACTGTGGAGAGGGTTGGTACCTGCCAGAGGTGCCACCTCCTTGATATTTGTGGGCTGTCAGGAGCCCAGTGCCTCTGCCAGAAGAGCTGAGAGGAAGGTGGTGTGCTGTGTTGCAGCACTGACAGACTCTCTCTCTGTTACAGTTCTCAGCATGCTGAGTAACCCTCTGGGGAACGTCCTGGGGAAGCCCCCACTGAGTTTCCTGCCTCTAGACCCCATTGGTTCAGACTTGTCAGAAAAGTTTTCCACGCCATCTCTGAGGAACTCTCGGTCCCTCCTGGATTCCCGCTCCAGCAGCCCCTCGGACTCTGACACCAGTGGGTTCAGCTCTGGCTCTGACCACCTCTCAGACTTGATCGTAAGTTTGGGTCTTGCACCCACTCTGTGGTTCCTGGGATCTTGCTGCATTTCTCGGGAGCATGGGAGAGCTCGGGGGGTGCTGCCAGGGAAGGGAGTGCTGGAGGGAGTTATCATCCCACACTGACACAGCGTGGGGTTTGGGAGAAGGGCTGCTCATGCAGTCCTTCAGCACAAAAGAGTAATACTCTTATAATTTTTCTTTTAAATTAATATTTTGGCCTTAGGGCTCTGTGCTTGCAACCCTGGTGGGTTGTAGTAGCTCCCAGGGAGGTCTGAGTGCTTGAGCTGGTGTGTGGCAGGGTGCGTGTCTGTGCCCTGATTCCAGCAGGGAGGTTGCTGATGAGCACAGCTACCTCCAGGCTCCAGCTTGGACTTCTCAGGAGCTCCTGTCTCTGCCTTTCATTGCCCTTCCCATTTGCTGACTGCACTTCTCCATCTCAGGGCTGTTTCTTCTTGAGCAAACTGGGTCTAGCCTGCTCCTGTTCCCTAAAGCACAGCTAAATTTGGAAGGCAGGGAGCACAGCGAGTGTTAGTCTCGCTGCCCCAGTCTGTGCTGTGCTGTGTGAGCCATAGCTCTGGGAGCCATCAGGACAGCCTGGCTCCAGCCAGCTTGGGGTGCTGCTGCACAGCCTGGCCTGGCCTTGCCTTGGCACAGGAGGATATAAAGCCAGGAGCTGTTCCTAGCTCTGCCACGGTGTGGCTGTGGCCTTGACCCCTTGGTCAAGGGGTTGGGATGTGTTTGAAGGACACCCATCCCTGTGTTGGAGTGGGTGTGAAGGACACAGTTGACTGGATGTGGGGTTGATTTTGCTGTGATCCACCCTGGAGAATCAGGATCTGCTCTGGGAGTGGCTGCAGCACCCTAGGCAAGGAGGATGGCAGGCAGTGCAGGGCACAGGGCTCTGTGCTGGCCTTGTTTGGGAAGGTCAGGTCTCCTAGCTCAGCCCTGGCATGGGCAGCTGCCACAGGGATGGTTCTGCAGCACAGCTGGCACTGTGAGCTGTGCAGTGTTTCACGTCTCTGCTGCTCCTTCAATCCATGCTTTCCCTCCTTCTACCCTGGGCAGGGCATGTGAAACCTGTGTGTGACTGTGGCCAGTAGTGCCCACTCCTTGGTCAGGTGGGCTTGGAGCTGGGCTGGAAAGGTGGGATCCAACTGGTATGATCACTGCCAGTGAACCCTGCCCACTGAAGCCATTCCTCCAGGGGTGGCTGGTGCTCCCTGGGGGTGACAGTGTCCTTGGGGTTGTGCAGCAAGGGGGGTGACTGTTGGCTTTGTGGTCTGTAAGGTGCCTCCTGCTTAACAATTCCTGCTGGTGATCATGACCACAGGAGGAATGGCTGCAGGGATAGGCCTTTGCCATGGGAGTTCTGGTCCTGTCAGGGTGCTGGGGCAGATGGGGAGCTGCTTTTCTACTTCTGCCAGATGTCAGAGGGTCTCAGGAGATCACTGAGAGCTCCCTATCCTGCCATGAGTGAGGATACAGCCCCAGTGTGGTGCCTCTCCACTGGCATTTTGTGCTCTTACTCTGGAGCTGGATTTCAATGTGGCCTTTCTCTTACAGTCAAGCCTTCGCATCTCCCCACCTCTGCCCTTCCTGCCTCTCAGTGGAGTGTCAAGAGACCCCCTGAAGATGGGAGTGGGATCCCAACTGGAACAAGATCAAGCTGCCCTGGCTGCAGTAACTTCCTCCCCAGCCAGTGCATCGAAAAGATGGCCTGGAGCATCTGCGTGGCCTTCCTGGGATCTTCTGGACTCTCCAGAAGACCCCTTCAGTATCGAAAGAGAAGCCCGGCTTCATCGGCAAGCAGCAGGTGAGTTGGAGGTGGTCATGGCAGGCTGCAGGGCCTGGGGATGGTCCCAAACTTCTGGAAGGGCATGAAAGTGTCTGCAGGCACCATGGCTGGACATGAAGCTTGCAGCAGATTAGGGCTTTCTGTAGGCACAAGCCTGGCTCTGGCTGTACCTGCTGAGAGAACAGGCAGGTGTCTGGGCAACTCTGTTCAGCCTGTAGTTGGGGAATATGGGGGAGACCTGTGGGAGAGTGGGAAGGAAAATGGTCCTGTACTGAGCGTTACTGGTGTCTCTCCAAGCTGTGAACGAAGCAACCTGCACCTGGAGCGGGCAGCTGCCTCCCCGAAACTACAAGAACCCTGTATACTCCTGCAAAGTGTTCCTGGGAGGAGTCCCATGGGACATCACGGAAGGTGAGCAGTCCCTGACCCCACACCAAGGCCTTGAGTGTTGACAGGGAGGGTGCAGGATGGAGTTGTTGTGGGGCACACTGACTGACCTCTCTCCTTCTGCCTGTAGCTGGGCTGATCAACACTTTCCGTGTTTTTGGCTCCCTGAGTGTGGAGTGGCCCGGTAAGGATGGCAAACACCCACGCTGTCCTCCCAAAGGTAATATGCCTAAAGGTAATAGCGACACGGTAGGGTTACTTTTTTCCCATGCTATGTTACAGCACGGATACTGGGATGGTACAGCTGCATGCTGGTCACTGGATGGTGGTACAGAGCACCCTGGGTAATGTCCTGCCCTCACCTGGGTCTGCACCTGGGCTGCAGAGTCACTCCCCACCCAGTGTCCCCACCCTTCCCCAGCAGGGTAGACAGAGCTGTGGGGTGATGGGAACCTTCTCTGGTTTGTTTCTGGAGCTCTGAATGGGGCTGTGGCTCCAGGCAGTAGCTGGTCCCTGCTGCAAGCATGTGGTGAGTCCAGATGGGCACACACAGCATACTGACAGCAGTGTCCAAGGCCTGATCCTGCCTGGAGCAGCTAGACTGACATGTTGTGTAAACAGGAACGATTTATGGAGTAGGAAGTGGCTGTTGGGTGCCCACTGGCCCTGTTCAGTCACCAGAGCAGTGCAAGGCGTAGCACGGACACTCACAGAGGTGACCTTAAAACCCTGGACTTACATTTCTGAGCCAGGATATTCTAAATGTGAAGCAGAATCCATTTTTCTGCAGGCCTCACTGTGGCCAGGTGGTGATGCCCACTTGACTTGTCCAGGTGTGGTTTGTGCATAGGAGACAGTGGCCCATGTGGATGTGGGCATTCTGCCCCTTGTGCCACGGTGGGTTTGGGTTCTTCTCAGCTTGACCATACTCTGGGTTGTACAAAGAGTCTGTTGGGGACAGCAAGAGCTGTCACACAGATACTTCAGGTGGCAACTGAGTGATTTTGAGCGTGTCTGCAAACTGGGATGATGCCTTCCTTCTCCACTACAGTTCTAACAGCTGCTTCTCTCCCTTCCCTTCCGAAGGATACGTGTACCTAGTGTTTGAGTCAGAGAAGTCTGTGCGTGCACTGCTCCAGGCGTGCTCCCAGGACCTGCTGAGCCCTGACGGGCTCAGTGAGTACTACTTCAAGATGTCCAGCCGCAGGATGCGCTGCAAAGAGGTGAGCAGAGCCACGAGAGCAGCAGGGGATGTGGATGAGATCCTTGGAGAAAAGGAAGGCAGGGCTGGAACAGCAGCAGCAGGAGTGCTGGCTCCTGGCTGGCCTTAACTGGTGTCTTGCTGTGGTGGGGATGTGTCAGGGCTGTGTCTGTGTCCTTCACAGCTGCTTGTGTTAAACTGACGTGGAGTTCCTGGATTGGTGGCAGACCCTGCCTTTAGCTTCAGCTAGCTGGAAAGGAGCATAGAAACAGGGAATTTTACTGCTCCATGCTGCTTCTAACAAACCTTTGCTTCTTGAATCAGACTGGGATCCCTCTGGTGCTTTGTTAGGCCCCCTCTACTCGCTAAACTAATGGCTTTCATGTTCCCTAGGCAGATACTTTGGATCCCAGGTTGTTCCCCAGTGCAGCCTTGTCTGGCTCTGAGTTGTGCTCTGGAGGTGCTGAGGCTGCTGGAGGCTCCATTTGGCCTTCCAGGAAAGGGGGACCTCAGATCAGGGACCACCACCTGAGTTTGAGGAGTTACAGCATGGAGATCCAGCTCTTACCTAGACAAGCACAAAATAACTTGCTCCAGACAACTCTCTGGGTGTCTGGCAGTGGACAGTGCTTCTGTGCTTAGGGATTGGTGATTTAGCTCTGCCAGAAGCTTCTCCTCTCTGGACCCCTCCATCAGCTGAGCAGATGGGAGCTCCTGTTGAAGTTGGCTGTGGGTGGGTTGTTCTAGTGATCCCCTCCAACAACAGGCTCCTGTGCTGGGAGTCATCCCACTGTGCCATAAATACTTGGTACTGGAATGTGGATTGTCTCCTGGATGCCAGCTCCAAGGGAGTAGTGGCTTGGATTCCAGTTTGGCTGGAAGCAGGAGTTGGTTTTCTTCCCTTGTGGGGCTCCACAGAGGTATCTGTAGCTCCAGAGCTGTGGTGCCCTGGATGTGGACCCTGACCAGCAACAACAACACTTGCAGCTCAGCGATGTGGTCTCAGGGTCTGAGGTGGCTCCTGTGAGCTGAGGACACAGCGTGTGGCTCTGCAGGCCGTAGCTGACCTGCCCTGTGTGTGTGTGGCTCCAGGTGCAGGTGATCCCGTGGGTCCTGGCCGACAGCAACTTCGTGCGCAGCCCATCACAGCGGCTTGACCCCAGCAAGACAGTGTTCGTGGGGGCTCTGCACGGGATGCTCAATGCAGAGGCCCTGGCAGCCGTCATGTATGACCTGTTTGGAGGGGTGGTCTACGCTGGCATCGACACGGACAAGCACAAGTATCCCATTGGTAAGTGACAATCCTGCCAGGATCATGCTCTGAGGAGGCTGCAGCAGTGCCCTTGGCTTGTCCCTCAATTGGAAGACTGCCCTGGTGCCAGGCTCTGGGAGCAGATGTCTGTTCAGCTTCTTCCATAGTCTGTGCTTCTTGCCTCCTGGCCATGGGGAGACAAGACCAACCTTGGAGAGGGCTGTCAGAGTTGATGTGCCTGGGAACTGGAAGATCCTAGGTTATTTTGGAGCAGCTTGAGGGTTTTAATATCCCTTTAAGCATTGCTGAAGTGTTTCCTGCCTTTGTTTGGTGCTGTTAGTGTTTGTTGGATGCTGCTGCAGCTGCTCTTCGATCCCTGAAACTGAGACAGCTGTGGGTCTTACCCACACTTTGGGCTCTTGTCACTGGAGCTGAAACATGACATGTTTCAGGGGACATGGGCCAGGGGACAGCACTGAGGTGACTGGTCTGTGTGGGAAATGCCCTGTAGTGTGTGCCTGAGGACCAGCTTTCCAGGCTCAGGCTGCAGCATGTCACAGACTTGAGGAGGGACTCAGTCTCCTGGTGTTGCCAGGCAGGAACAACATCAGAACTTGATAGTGCAGAGCTGTCACTGCTTGTCACTGTCCTTGGACAGTGGTCAGGCTTTTCTGGGCAAGTCTTGGGTTTAGAACTTGCCCATGGTGCTGAGAAGCCTTTGAAGAGTCTTTAGGGGGACAGTCCCACAGGGCTGGGAATGGCAGAATGACTGTTAAAGCAAATTCTGTGAGTCCAGAGATGAAGTACCACAGGATCTCCCTGTGCAGGCCCTGTGAGGTCCTAGGGCGTGACCCCAACCTTCTGTGGTTCATGCAGAGCCTGGGTATCTCCAAGTAGGCAAGATCCCTTTCCTAACAGCTCAGTGGTACTTTTGCCCTTGGAGGTGTCCTGAAGTCACAGCAGTCTGCGCTCAGTTTTGGTAACTGAGGCCCTTCTGCCTATGTTCTGTTCCATGCTCTGGGAGGGGAATGATGGGTTTGGGTGACACTTGGTGCTTTGGCTGAACTGGAGGAATCTGCTGGTGTGTCAGTCCTGGAACACCCAGCACTCCCCTTAGGCCCAGAACAAGAACTGGGAGGAAAGCATGATTGTGTTTTCCTAGAGCTTAACACAACTTGGCTGGAAGCAAGTGGCACAGGAATGATACTGACTGGCAATGAGGCTGCAAAACACAAAGCTCTGGGGTGAGGGGGAGGCTGCAAAGAAAAACTACTGAGCTGTCTTAGCACCAGCGTATTCTAGGTGCAGGTGTGGAGCTGCTGCTTTGATGCCCTTCGCAGGGCCCTGCCAGCCTCTCTCTAGCTGCTGCTCCTCCTGGGAGTGTGGGGCCTGGGGAAGGAGACAGGCAGAGCCCCCGGGCCCTGGAGACTATCTTCCTGCCAAAGCTGCTTCCCTGGCAGTGGCTGAGCTGTGCTGGGGAAGGGGTGGTGCTGGCAGTGGCTCCCTCTCAGCCCCCACTGGTTCCTGCCTAACACTTGTGGTCTGGCTCATTCCAGGGTCAGGACGTGTCACCTTCAACAACCAGCGCAGTTACCTGAAGGCTGTGACTGCTGCCTTTGTGGAGATCAAAACCACCAAGTTTACGAAGAAGGTGAGTGTGGCTGGTGGGGCAGCCCAGAGAGAGGGATCTGTGTTGTGGCAGGTGCTGCTGAGGGCACCACAGCCCACAGGCAGAGGGGAAGTGGGGAGCTGACAGCCCAAGGGGGTGCTGGGAATGGACTTGGGGTACCCAAGGAGTGAACAGTCACCCCAGCACTGCTCTGTGCCCACTGCCTGGTTCTCCTGCAGGTTCAGATTGACCCTTACCTGGAGGACTCCATGTGCCAAGTCTGCAATGCCCAGCCTGGCCCGTTCTTCTGCAGAGACCAGGTAAGGCTGTTTCTCCTGTGCCAGGAGCAGTGGTGTTTGTGTTGGTGTCCAGGAATGCCTCTTGTCCCTTCCTGAGTGGGCAGGATGGAGTTGCCCAGCTGGGGGTGAACCCTTGTTTTGGAGGAGGGGCAGCTCTTGTACTCACCCAGAAGCACAGGCAGCTTTCCCTCCACCTCAGTTTGGGAATGCTGTGACTCTGCTGGTGGTGTGCCAGTGTATCAGGGCCTACTGTGGAATGGGCTGGTGCCCCTGTTGGGGAGGGGAAGGAGGGGAGGCTGCTGCTCTGCAAACTGTGACAAGCTGGAGTAAGAGTGTGTCACCTTGAGGTCACTCCTGGGGCTGCCCAAGGCACAGGGAACTCTGGCTGACCTCCCCTCTCTGTGGGCAGAGGAGCTTGGCCAGGGTCTGGTGTCTTTCTATGGAGTCAGAGTGGGAGATGAGCAGCAGCAGGCTCTGCTCCAGGGGCAGAGATTCAGGGGACTGGGGGCAAAGCCTGGCTACTGCCCCACTACCCAGACCCTGACTTTAAAACTGTTCAAAAGATGGAAGCTGGGCACAACATGCCATCACTGGCATTTCTTCCCTCCAATCCACGGATCCACTGTGCTGGTGGGGGCTGCCACACCAGGGAGGGAGGGGAGAAACTACTCTGCTTCTGGTGACCCTTTGCTGCTGGAAAACCCACAATGTTGCTGCTTTGCTCTCCCCACAGGTCTGCTTCAAGTACTTCTGCCGCTCCTGCTGGCACTGGCAGCACTCCATGGAGGTCCTGCGCCACCACCGCCCACTGATGCGCAACCAGAAGAACAGGGACTCCTCCAGCTAAAGGACGCCGGGGCCGCCGCAGGCGCAGGGGAGTCCCCTAGAGAACCTGCTGAGTGGGGAGCAGGGAAGCGCCTGCCGGAGCCAGGCCTGGCTGGGAACGTTCTTCCTGAGGACTGATGGGGAAAAAAAAAAGAAAAAAAAAGAGGAAAAAAAAAAAACAAAAACAAAACAACAAATCTTACATTCATGTTTGCACTTGCTGGTCTTTTTGTTTCTGCACTAATGCACAGTGAGTTTTGTTGGGGTTTGTTTGGGGGTGTTTTGAGTGGGGGGGAGCGCCCCTCAAGCCATTCTGCAGTTCCCAGACTTTGGTTCCTGGTTTGCTGATGAGAAGCAAAAATTGAAAATGAAGAAAACCCAACCAACCAAGGGCCACGTGTCGCGGGGGTGCCACTGCAGGTGCCTCTGCCTTGGTTTTTTTATTTTTTAAAGGCGCTTTTTTACATTCCTTGCAATACTGGTGGAGAGAGCGCAGGTCTCATTGGTCATTGTTTTGCCGTTGCCATACAGTGCCTTTCCATTCATTTACCCCCACCTGGACGGCGTGACCTGGGTGTTCAGCTGGCGTTTTTTACTGTAACAACAAAGGAGACTTTGCTCTTCATTTAAACCAAATCATATTTCATATTTTACGCTCGAGGGTTTTTACGAGTTCCTTTTTACACTCTTAAAAAACAGTTTTTAAGTCGTTTGAAATGAGAGATTTTTTTCTTTCCTGGCAGCTTTTAACATTATTGCAATTTGTGTCTGGGGGCTGCTGGCAGGACCTTGTAAATCAAGGGGTTTGCAACAGGACAGGCTGGGCTTTGTTTTTGGATTTGAAACTGGATGGGATGATGATCTCTGAGCTGCTGTATATAGTTTTAAAATAGTTTGTTGCACTTTTTTAAGTTGCACTTATGGGGGGTTGATAGAGGTTTTTAATCACACGAAGTCACAGGACTTAAACCTTTTCTTTTTGTAACAAGCTAAAAAAGGGCTGCGTTTGGGTGGATGATGAAGGTTCCTGGGAGCCCTTTCTCTTAGAGGGGACAAGTAATTTTCCTTTCCTTCCCAAGATGTTTGGAGTAACAGTGCAGTCGACTGAGATGCTGCTGCTGGGATTTGAGACCTTTAATTATGCCAATTATTATTTTTTTGTTACTTCTCCCTCTATCAGAAGCTGTGTGCCAAAGAACCAGTGTCATAATTTCTCCCTCTTTATTATGATTTTTTTTTCTTTTCTGCTGAGCTGATGTTGCATTGTTGCATATCCCAGCTGCTCTTTGTGGGGTTTTGTGAAGCTGTTTGTGAAGTCTCTACCTCATTGTAGTATATGCAGGCAAGACTGCACTCTCCTACAGACGCGTGGAGTAAGCTGTGGTGTAGTTTTTGGCACATAATAAACACGTTGCAGCAAAAAAAAAACACCTTTCTTGTGCTCTCTACTTCGGGTGTATGGGGGGTGTCTCTAAATTTGGGAGGGCTGTGGTGTCTCTTCCCAGAGGTAGGGGGAGGGGCATGGATGGAGTTCCAGATGCTTTTGGTGACTTGGTGCGAGGGAGCTCTCTCTGCTGGGAGGTGTGTTCTTTAGATCCCACTTACTGGAGGTACTCACGGGCCCCCTGAGCTCTATCTGGAGCTCCTCTACTTGCAGCAGCAAGTTATTTGGAAGGGCCTGTGTGCTCCCACACTTGGTGGTGTGGGTGTGACACCCTGCAGGGCTGTGTAGTGGGAGAGGGACCCCAGGGCTCCTTTTTGTGTTCGGGGGGAGTGCTGAATGGGACTTGGGGTGCAGTGGGGGTATCCCATGTCCCTGGAGGGTTTGGGGAGGGGTAGGGCTTTGGGCTCCTTCCTTGTGCCGCTTCCAACTTTGCAGCCACCCAACCTGTGGTTGCCCCCCCCTTTGGGGCTGTGTGATGAGAGTTTGTGGGTGCTCTGTGTCCTTCATCCCGACCTCTCCTGGGGTGTTGTGGTGCCCCAGACCCGCCTCCCGGGCTCCTCCCTCCCGCCGTAGGGCCGCGGAGCGGTGCTGGGCAGTCCGGAAGCGGGTCCTGGTGTGGGTCCGTGGCCGAGGGGTGCGGGCGGCGCTAGGACCCTGCGGAGCGCCCGGGCCTCAGCTCCGCCCAGTGAGTCATAGCCACGCCTCAGCCACGCCCACTGCACCCCTGTGGCGGCCCTCCGAGCCGCCAGGGGGCGCTGTGCGTGCCGTGGGCTTCCGGCGCCTCCCGCCTCCGCCCGCTCTCTTTGCGCGGCCGCCGCCGACATGGTGGGTCCGGGCTCGGCCATCCGCCGCCATCCGCTCGCCGGGCCGCGGCGGCAGCGCCGGCGGCGACCGCGGGGGAGCGGGGGAAGCGGGGCGAGGGGCTACGGGGGGCGGCGGGCGCCGGGATAGCCGGGGGAGGGGGCGCTGGCTGGGGAGGCGCCGGGCCCGGGCTCGGCGGGACCTTACCGATGCCGGCCCCGCGCAGGGACGCGTCCGGACGAAGACGGTGAAGAAGGCGGCGCGGGTGATCATCGAGAAGTACTACACGCGCCTGGGGAACGACTTCCACACCAACAAGCGCGTGTGCGAGGAGATCGCCATCATCCCCAGCAAGAAGCTGCGCAACAAGATCGCGGGGTGAGGGACGGGGCGTTCCGGGTGGGGTTGGGGCACTGAGGGTGTCCCCGAGGGCGAGGGCACGGGGAGGTTCCGGGTGGGGTTGGGGCACTGAGGGTGTCCCGGGGGGAGGTTCGGGCCAGGCCCTGCATTCGAAAGTGATCACGGTCCTGCCTGTGGCCGGGTCATCGATAGTGCAGGGAGAGGAGCGCGAGAGCCTTCCCGTGTTTGGGGGGGGTCTCTGTCCCCCCCTAAACCCTGTTGCTGTCGGACACTTCGTCCCTGATGTCCCCCGGAGGTGGCGGCTCCATCCCATCCCACCCCGGGGTTGGGGGTGCGGGGAGGGGTGGCGGGAGCCCCGGGGAAGCGCTGGACACCCCCGTGTCCCCCCAGGTATGTCACCCACCTGATGAAGCGGATCCAGAGAGGCCCCGTCCGCGGCATCTCCATCAAACTGCAGGAGGAGGAGAGGGAGAGAAGGGACAACTACGTCCCCGAGGTGAGGCTCTGCCGTTGCTCCCTCCTGCCTCGGCACATCTCCATCAGTGGGCCCAGACTCCTTTAAAACAAAGCCTCAGCTTAGGGAGGAGCTGAGGAGGGTTTGGATCAAGGGGGCTGAGGTGGAGCCCTCCATACCTACTACCTGAGGCAGGAAGGGCAGCTGGTTTCTTGTGTTTTGGTTTTGCTAACTCTAAAAGGGGGGAAACGACTTTTTGGGAGGCAAGAGGATATTTCAGAGCAGCTGGAAACCTGCCCTACAGCCAGGGTTGCTGGAGAGGATGAACTGGTGGCATCCCTTCCAAAGGGGACAAGGTCCCAACTGTCACCTGGGTGAGGCGCTCCAAGAGCATTTCCTGTGTTCTAGGGACTTGATCCTGCTGCTCGAAAATCCTGTGGCCCTCAGGCACAGGGCGTCTCACCCCTCTCCCACATCTGCTTGGTGGGCTTCTGGCAGAGCTGCTGGTTTCTGTGCTGCACAAACCCTGGTGGTACCAGGGTGTGGTTATCTTTGTATCTGAAAATTGCAGGGAAGGGACCCCAACTAGGGAAGGGACCCCAAGCAAGGAAGGAACATCGCTGTTGTAGCTGTTAGTACAGCATCAGCTGAACTTGCACTGTTTGTGGTTTCTTAGAAAAATCCTGGTGTGATGTAGCTCTTGGTGAGGGAAACCTAGGGAGATGGAGGTTTGGAGTCCAGAGAGGGCTGGAGGAGGTTTCTCTGGGATTAAAGAGCAGGAGAGTGTAGGTGTGAAGGTGGGACACACTGTTGGCTACCACTGGTGACTTGTCAGGACCAGTGCAGTTGTGGGCCCAACCCCATCTCCTTAGCAGCCTTGGCCTTGAGCATATTGGGCCTTGGTTTTCCAAAGATTTGCCATAAAAAAGGCTCTTCTTCCATAGTGTGACCTCTCACCATGTTCTGTCAAGAGAGCTGGGCTCCATCAGGGTCCTCTTGGCTCTTCTGCTGGAGCCCTTCCCCACAGTGGGCAGAGAGATCCTGTCTGCAGTGGTTCAGGACCACAGTGGCTGTGGGGACACCGAGGGGGTCGTGGAGCTTTATCAAACCACATCTCTCTCTCTCCCCTCCATCCCCAGGTCTCTGCCCTTGACCAGGAGATCATTGAAGTGGACCCGGACACCAAGGAAATGCTAAAGCTCCTGGTGAGTTGCCTCAGTTACCCTCTGCCTGGTTTGTGGCATGTCCCTGGCACTGCTCTCACTCATATTGGCTGAAGGCTCCATCACTCCAGGGACATGGTGGGGCTCCCTTTGCCCTGGGTCCTGTGGGCAGATTAATTCCTATATGGGGAGGGGAGGGAGAGACATGATGGCTATGCTGTTGGTAGGGTGGGTGTGCTCCCTGCCCTTCCCTCCAAAGATTCCCTCACCATTGAGCTGATCTCTGGAGTGGGGTGATCTCCCCCTCTTTAGGAGACTTGAATTCCCCCACGGTGCTGCCACAGCACCTTCTCACTCCTCCCTGAGGGAATCTGCTCCCCATCCTCAGTGGTCACTGAGCAGGGTGCTGTTGCTGATCCCATTGTTCCCATGTTGTTTTCCAGGACTTTGGCAGCCTGTCCAACCTGCAGGTGACACAGCCCACGGTGGGGATGAACTTCAAGACGCCCCGAGGAGCGCTCTGAGTCCATCCCCATGTGTCGCTTTTCCAATAAACGTGAGGAAACCACCTCAGCCTGCCTGGTCTTTGGACACCTGTGTCCCTGGGGATGAGGGAGGGCGGGTTCTCAGGTGCAGATGATGCAACACCTTCCTGTTTGTAGCATCTTGTTGGGTTCTTTCCTGGCTGGGGTGTGAAGATCAAAGTGATATTTTAGAGGCTCTCCTGCTTTTGGGGCCATGAGAGAGGATGACCGTGGTGGCTCCTTGGAGCTTGTGGGAACATGTCGCAGGTTTGTGCTTTCCTGAGCAGGCAGCCTAGGGTCAGGCTGTGCCAGAATTAAACTTGCTCTTTATGACCCCACTGGTCACTTTTAAGTTCTTAAAATTACTTGACAAAATAAAAGGAAGGAGACCTCAGTGTGTCCGCTCAAGGAAAACTGTTCACAGCCATAGCTTAAACCACCCTCCTGATAGCAATAAAATGACAAAAGGTTTGTGTTTTGGAGAGAAATGTCTGTATTTGTGTTTGTTGTGAAATTTAAGTACTGTAAACTTAAAGAAGAAAATATTTGCAGTAGAGTTAGCCGGTGTTTAAATATACATTGAACATGTTGAGCTGCAGTTGGATAATTTATAAATCCTCTCTGGCAGCTCTTAAATTGGGAAGTTTTTGCTGCTCCAGACACCTATTAATTACAATTTCCTCTTCATTTTGGTCTTCCTCTCACAGTAAATGCTAATTTTGGTTTGAACCCAGTAGGCCGCATAGCCTGATGTACCAGGGATGAAGTCATGGAGCTCCCCTTCATATTTCTTCATGTCCCGGGCAGAGGTGTAGCCTGTGCAGGGAAAACGGGCTCACCTGGGTCCCTGCTCCCCCCCTCCATCCACAGGCCTTTCCAGGTGTATTTACCTGTCACCATGTTATTTACTGGGTATTCCTGGAGGGCGCGGTATGGAAATCCTCCCTGGAAAGGTGCTTCAGAGTCTGTTTCTTCGCTGCTGTATCAGAATGGGGGCAAAAAAAAATTCTGTGTATTAGTTCCTGTGCATCAGGATCGCTTGGAATTTGGGGGGGGGGGGTGTCCAAATCTCACCACCCAGGGCGGGAAAATACCTCTTGTCCAGGTCTAGCGCTTCCCCCTCTGGATCTTCCTCACAGCCGTTTCTTGCTGCCTCCGGTTCCTCTGTTGGATTTCCATTGGGCTGTGAAAGTCAATGCAGGGTTGAGTTAAAATGGTGCCTTTTGTCCCCCCCAGAGCACCTGGGACACACTCCAGGAATGGAATTTTAGGACTTGTGATTTCAGGTGTAATTTAGAGTTTAATTTTAGGTATAGGCATATTTTTGCTTCAAAAGTGCTGGGAAGTTGCTTTGAAAGGAGAGGGGGCACAGATGAGGGAAAATGCTACCCCAAAGGATTGAGCTCTGCCTATGGTGATCAGAGTCCCTGGAACGGTAAGTTGGGAGACTGAGCATCTGTCTGGACAAGGTTTTCCTTGGCCCTCCTTTTGTTAGTAATGTATTTATAAAAACACTTACTATCCTTTACAGAAATGGCCAGACTAAGTTATAACTGAACTTTCGCCTCTAATTTACTTTCTGCCTGACCTAACAACTTCCTTAAACACTTCTGAGTTGCCTGCCCCTTTTTCCCAAGATGACACACCCTCCTTTTTTTTCCCTAAGTTCCTGTGAAAGCTCCCTGCTCAGCCAGGCCCATCTTCTTCCCCTCTGGCTCATCTTCTGGCACCTGGGGACAAGCTGCACCTGTATTTCCAGAATCTTTTTCTTAAAGAATGTCCAGCTTTCATGGATCCCTTTGTTTTTAACGTCAGCTTTCCAAGGGACTTCCCAAACTGCTGTCCTGAATAAACCGAAGTTAACGCTCTGGAAATCCAGGGTAGAGGTTTTGTTGTTAACTTTATGGAGTTAAAAACTCCCATCATCTTGTGGTTGCTATGCCTCCAACTGTTTAAATGAGACTTGATCCTGTATGTGACCTGATGGTCTGGGATGAAAACCAGGCTCCCTGGAGTTGATACAACCCTTATTTTTTTAAGCCACACTTGTATGAATTTCTCATCTTACCTTTTCTTCAAGGACATCCACCTGCTCCCAAATAAAACAGCCGATTTTCTTTCTGATTTCTGCCAAGAACAACAAATGACTGAGAGCATTAAATAATGGGACTGTGGCATCGCTGCCTGAGTGAGGCCCTGCAAGGTGCCACAGAGGACAGCAAGGCCAAAGTGCAAGGTCCTGCCTCTGGGCAAGGGCAATTCCAAGAACAAATCCAGGCTGGGGGAATGGATTGAGCACAGCCCTGAGGAGAAGGACTTAGGGGTGTTGGTGGAGGAGGAGCTGGACATGCCCCAGCCATGTGAGCTGGCATGGAGAAACCCCCCATGCCCTGGGCTGTTTCCACAGTGTGGGAAGCAGAGGAGGGGGGGGATTCTGCCCCTCTGCTCCCTCAGGTGGGACCCCACCTGAAGTGCTGCCTCCAGCTCGGGTCCAACACCAGAAGGACCTGGAGCGAGTCCAGGTAGGGCCACAGAGATGCTCCAAGGGCTGGAACCCCTCTGCTCTGGTGCCTGACTGGGAGAGCTGGGAGTGTTCAGTCTGGAGAAGACTGCAGAGACCTTAAGAGCCCCTTCCAGTGCATTAAGGGGCTCCAAGAGAGCTGGAGAAGGACTTTATACAAGGGCCTGGAGGAACGGGGGAATGGCCTTAAGCTGCTAAAGAGCAGTCTTAGATTAGAGATTCAGCAGAAATTTTTCACTGTGAGAGTGGTGAGGCTCTGGCACAGGTTGCCCAGAGAAGCTGTGTCTGCCCCAACCCTGGAAGTGCTCAAGACTGTGTTGGACAGGGCTTGGAGCAACCTGGGATAGTGGAAGGTGTGCCTGCCAATGGCAGGGAGTGAAACGAGATGAGCTGTAAGGTCCCTTCCAACCCCAAACCATTCAGTGATTCTGTGATAATAGATGGAGCATATGCTGCCTCCGGGGAGGAAGAGCCACTGCAGCAGAAGGAAATTCCCTCCCTGCAGAGAAGTAACTGATGTTCTGGTTTGCACCAAGGCTGAGCTCATGGGGGAACCCCCTGGAGGGAAAACCTGGATGGATATTTTTTTTCCCTGACCTTCTTGCAGGCAGGCAGGGGGCAGGACAAAGTGGCCCAGAACCACTGAAGGCTTCTCTGTGGCGCCAGCACAGTCACACGCCGAGAGGTAACGAGGGTGAAAGACTGTGGCTCTGCCCTCCAAGTATCTGAGACTCTCGTGTATGCTGGAAGAGAAAAAGAGAGCTGGTTTCCAAAGGTGAACCTAGAAACAAACCAAAACCAGAAAGTTTAGAGGGATGTTGTCATTAAAACCAGCCTGCTCTGATATTTTTACCAAAATCACTTAATTTTCTGTGATTTTCTATCTATGGGATTCCAGCTACCGGCAGCCTGGAGGAAGAAGACCATGGACTGGGTAAACATATTTGTAGGGATTAAGTGGCCCCACTCTGCTCTTGAGGTAAAACTCCTTTAAGGAGGGCAAAAACCTGACTTCCCTTTATTTATTCTTCTCCCCGCTGGTCCCTGCTCACACAGGTGAGCGAGGAAGGGCAGGTGGAGGATGCTCAAGTTCTCACCGTCCTCCTTAGAGGGGAACTAATACTGTTTGCTGGATTTAATGGTATGGATAATGATTACATTTTCCCCAAGAAATTATTTAAGTATATAGATTGAATATGTATTTTATACATATTTACACAATATATAATTATGTATAATTCCCCTGGGGGAATAGCGCAGTCAGGCAGGAAGTGTGGCGGAAGGAATGTCATTCCGGGTTTCTCAGAATTCCCCTTGCGCAGCTGGAGAGGGTGGCTGAAGGATACCAAAAATCTAAGCCAGTTTTAAGCACTGGTGTGTTGCAAAGAAGCTGGTTTGTCCAGCCTAGCAAAGCCTGCTGAAAGCACTGCAGCGCCCTTTACCATATATTGACATGACAGTAAATAAATATTCACTGATATTGAGGAAGTGAGAAGTCTTTCCCTATATTTGTACGAATGTTCTGGAACTCTCTAATCTTTTATATTAAGCATTTCTGTCCTTTCCCAGCCATTTTTACCCCATGGTTCCTTTCAGAGTTAACTTACACCAGCTTTTTACCTCTGGGTTCCTTCTTTGGGGTGGTGCCACCCTTTTAGATCCTGTTTTTCCAGCAGGCAGCAAGAAACCAGTACAATTAGTGTCATTTATGTCATAGTTAAGCCCAGCTCAACACATGGATTTTTTTTTTCTGTTCTGTCTATAGTGTAGCACGGGTGTGAGTTTCCATACTCCACCAGGCAGTAAAACCCTGGCAGATCCATAGCAAAACTTTAAAATACCCCACTGACTTTTACATTATGTTGGTATCCAGGAAATACTTCCCATTAAATACATTAAAGCCATAGACAAATGCCTCCATCACCCACCTGCGGGTGTCAGGGTGGGTGGCATCGCTGCTGAAGAGGTACTCGGCATCCAGCCAGTTGGTCAGTGCCCCTCCACCGGCCACTGTGAGGGGACAGGGGTTGAGGGGAAGGTGGGCATCCCAGAGGTTTCCCCCTTTGGGATGACCTGTAATGGGACATCTGGTTGTGGGGCTGCAGGGATGGGGCCTGCAGTGCGAGCTGTGGTGGCCCTACCATGGCTGTGGAACTCCCACTGCCCCATTGAGGGTTCAGGGCTTTTCCTCACTGTGGGAGCACCATGGGCTGTGCTCATTACAGGTGGGGCTGGCCAAACCTATGCTCTGCCTCCCATGGGGGACTCAGACCCACCGAGGGGTAACGGGGCTGTGTTCCCCCCTCATCCCCACTGCGGGTGCTGACGCTGTACCCCCACCAAGGGGTGATGGCGTCATGCCCCCTCCCCACCCTCATCCCCACTGATGGGTGGCAGGGTTGTGTCCCTACTGCTCTGCCCCACTGAGTGGTGATGAGGCTGTGCCCCCCTCCTTATCCCCACTAAGATGACAAGACTGTACTCCTCCTGCTCTGCGCTGCAAAGGGATGATGGGGCCGTGCCCTCATCAAGGGGTGACCTACTGAGGGGTGACGAGGCTGTGCCCCCCCCCGCTGTTCCACCCCACTGAGGAGTGACAGGGCTGTGTTCCCCTCTGCATCCCCCCGCGGGCTCCTGCCAGCTCGGTGCCCTCGGGGCTTCTTCCCCCCGGGCTCCCCTCGCCGGTTCCCCTCACCCCAGAGCCCCCGCGGGCCCGGGCTGACGCTCTGCGAGAACCAGGCACGGCGGCCGCGGAACATCGCGGCGGGACAGCTCTGAGGGGAGGCAGGGCCGGCCCTGAGGGGAAGGCGGGAGGAGGCTGAGGGGCGGCGCCGGCGGGAAACCCCGGCCGGTGGACGGGAGGAGGAAACGTCGTGGAGCCGTGCCAGGGGAAGTTTAGGCTGGATATCAGGGAAAAATTCTTCCCCCAGAGGGTGGTCGGGCACTGAACAGGCTCCCCAGGGCAGCGGTCACGGCCCCAAACCTATCAGATCCCAAAGAGTGTTTGGACAACACCCTCAGGTGCGGGGTGGGACCGTTGGGGTGTCCTGTGCAGGGCCAGGAGCTGGACTTGAGCCTTGTGGATCCCAAATTGTTCTAAAAGTTTTTCTCCCAAAACCACACATATTTCGTTGACTCAGGAAACAGCTGGCCTGCAGCAGATACACTTATATTTCATAAGGCAAAAATGAGGCTTGTTCTGTGTTTCAAACTTCCCAAGATATATCCCTCAGGATATCCCATCTGCTGGGAACTGTCACTGAAGAGCCAGCAGCAGTGACATATCTTGGGTATCTCGGAACCCCAAGGATGCTGGATAAAACAGAGAAGGTGTTTCCAGATACTGAAACCCAGATCAGCCTCTGGGATGGGCATGTGCTGTTCTCCCACAGACAGGGGATTTTTCAGTAAACCATCAAAACATTTCCTAAGTAAGACCAGAAAAACGCCACAGATGCAATCAGGGCAAAGACTTCCTCAGTGTGGGAGGATGCTAACACGCCCTTTGGAGATGGGTCGTCCCACATTGCCTCCACAGTCTTCAGCTTCTGCAGTTGACTCCACTTGTGTCCTAATTAGGATGAAGCTTTTCTGTTTTTTCTGGAGAGGCTACCCAGCCATTACTCTCTAATGCTCTTGAGGATAGTAAAGGTGGAGCAGAGATGGTGGAAAGCACCTTGGTGGCCCTTCATGATCCACAGGAGCCCAGAACATGCTCCACAGCTCCTTGGGCTCACACAGCAGGTTGAGCTGCTCTGCAGAGGTCTCTGGGGGAGAAGTCGAAAGCTTTTCCTTCTTCCCAGACCATCTTCTCCCACACAAGGACCACTGCTGGGGCTGGCACAGTCCCTGGCCAGTCCCCTGTGTGGTGGCTTTGGTAGGTCCTACTGTCCCATGCTGGGTGACAAGCCCTGTACATGACCACCCAGCCATGACAACCTCACCTCTCTTGATTTTGAACACTCTGATGAGCCCAAATGGATCACCAGAACCAGGCCCTGCATCCCAGCAACCTCTCAGATGCTGGAACGCAGTTATAATAAAAAAAGCTGTAGAACAAGACAAGATCCCTCAAAAATCTCAAGCGGGTGTTCTGCATCACAGCAAATCTTAATATACCAAGATGAAACATGCAACCCCCTGGTCTCCAGGGGTGCTTTTTCACATACACAAGATCCACACAGGTCAGATTCATCTCACTCCAACACTCCTCAAGCAATCACACTGATTTCTTCATACAAATAAAAGCAGTGTGATGGGAATAGCACCGGCTTTGGGTACTGCCATCAACCCCCCACGGTATGACAGATGACTGGCTCCCAACTGCTCTTCTCTGCAGGGTCAGCCAAAGAGAACAGAAAAACAGAACTGAAATTTGCTGACACACTTTCCCCGGTTTTACAGCTTTACACCCCACACCCCAAGATGCATGATCTGGAGTTCTCCCCCTTGAAGTGGGCACCATTCCCTGCCCCTCACTCTGTGTCCCACCCCACATCCCCAAGGTTTCTTTATCCCTTTTTTAAATCTTATGCCTTCCCTTCAGAGTCACGCAAGAGCCGCCAACCAGGCAGATACCACATCAACCAGAAAAATCTTTAATTCTTTTTTTAATGATGGAAAAGTGTTTCTTACACATTCTCAGTAGGATAAAAAAGCACAACTGAGCATCAGTGCCACCAGGCTCCAGATTCACTTACAACCCAGCAGACGCTGGAGACCTTGAAATCAGCTCAGGTTGTCCAATGACTCTGAAAAAACATTTAAATAGCTATGATTTTATTAAGGTAAAAATCCTGTACAATTTGGAGCACTTTAGAGCTAAAATTGTTTTTAAGCAGTAATGTAGGCATTTTTAGCTGCATGCTCAAAAAGCTTCCAGAGCCCCCTTGCTGCTTCGTGCAAAAGATATCTTGACAAGCATGATTAAAGAATTCCTTGAAGCAAGATAATCACTCTTGTGGTTAAGATGACGACTGGACACAAGCTTGAGAAGAGTTTGATTTGCGAGAAGAATTTTTCAGACCTGCACAGAGAGAGAAGATGGACATAAATTGCTCTGGTCACAGCTTCAACCGTAATTATTTTAGGAGTCAAAAATGGTTTCCTCAAGAGCACTCTGACTGCAGCATCTCAGCTGAAGGCACAGACCCACCTTCCAGTGAGATAAAACTCCTGCAGAAACTGCTTTTCTGTCCCTTCCTTGGTGGGGTTCAGAGTTCAACAAGTCAAGAGGATCCTTGTTCTCCACCCCAGGCAGTGTATCCTGCTCTCAACTCCTCCACCCCAGTAAATCCTTGTCCCCAGACTCCAGTGAAGCTACCCATGTCCCACCTCCAGCCAAGGTTGGCATCCCTCACCATCAGTGACCTCCAGGCCGATGTCCCACCAACCAAAGCCACAGTGTCTCGTGGACACAACACATTCCATACCCTGCCCTGGGGCCAGGTTCCCATTCCTGCTGCCCAAAAGAGAGTGACAAACCAGAGGAGTAGCCATACACAACTTTGTAGAGCTCTACAAGAGTAGGGGCATTTCAAGTGAGGTCCTGGCAAGGCTTATCCTGGGAACAGTTAATCATTATCCAGCCTCTACCACAGCACTTATCTAAGTCATTTCAACCAGCGCATTACATCAGCTGGGCCACTTATCTTCAGTTTTCTTCTGATCAAGAGTTAAATTGGAATTTCCCTGTTGTTAACCCCATATCAGTTACAAGAATACAGTTTGAGAACATGGAGCCCTCAAAAGCTGAGACACTGGTAATTAAACCCAAAACTGCTTCTGGTTTGTGCTTCACAAATCCCACATCGTGCTGCCTGCCTGCCACAGGGTTAACTAGCCTGCCTCTCCCAAAGCACAGGACATCCAGGCACAGCAACTACCTCCTCCCCAGAGAGGAAACAGCACTGTGGGGCCTGAAGAAGCATTAGGGGACCTGTGACAACTCTCTGGTACTTGGCAGACACAGTAAAGACATGGAAGGTTTTCTCCAAAGGTCTCCTTTCTTTAGATTCCTGTAGGCAAGGGATGGCTGAGAACAGGACAAAACAGTTAGTAGAAGGAGTGTGGGGAGAGTCCCATGTCCCAAATTAGCAGTAACATGATCTGCTTTTGGGGGTGGTTGCTTCTGTTCCTCAACTCTGCAAGTGATACACTCTCCCCTGTATGGAAATGGGTCCACGTTCTCTTACCAGCACAGAAATAGCATCACCATAACTCACCATAGATTACCCCAGACACAGCTCAGAAGTCCGGTTCTGTAGGGAAGAAAGGTGGAGCGTTAGGCTTTGGGACAAACAGCATCCCCTCCCCAGTACCCACAAGCCCACCCCTACTGGGTGTAACCATAGAGCTGCCCAGTCCCCACCGCTCTGTCCTTTATATTCTGAAGGTAAAGCCAATATCACTGTGTGGCTCATCTCCTTCTAGGTGAGTTCACTGATACTAGACAACACAGCACCACCAAACCCTTATGGACAACAGTGAGGCATGTCCGCCCTGAATCCTTCATGGATGTGTATAACAGCCTTTACAGCTGAAACCAAGTTAACTTTCCATCTCTAACACAAGACCTTCAAAACCCACTCTGCTATAACACTCTGCTTCCCAGGAAGAGGAAGAGAGACACCGTGGAGATAAACGAACGAGCCCCAGCACACAAATGGAAGCCACAGGAAGCAGAGCGTACCCCATCGGTAGATCATCGGCTCCGGCACGCTGGAATGCGCCACCCTGCAAGCGAAGGTGTCATCCTTGGTAGGGGTGAAGGGCACATAGACCAGGCGCTGGAACTGCCAATGCTCGTTGAAGGACAAGTCCCCGTATCTGACGTTGGTCATGGGCTCGCCGTTCTTCAGGAGCTCCACCTCGATCTTTGGTGGGTGAAAGCCGGTGACGAAGCAGTGGAGAGTGTTCTCCTGTCCCTCCACGGCGTGTGTACGGGCATAGACTTCGACCTTAGGCGGCTCTGGAGAGGGAGGCGAGGGCGGTGTGAGAAGCGGGGCTGCGCTGGGCATCACGTCGATGCACCCACCCACCCCGGCACCGCGACCCCCCAGCCTCTCACCCTCCCTGCCCCCTGCAGGACCCTTCACGCCGCCCCCGGCACTCACGATCGGCGGCGTGCCCCAGACCGAGCAGCGCCAGCAGCACCAGGAACCCCAGCACGCTCCCCTCCATAGCGGAGTCTCCCGGCGGCACCGACTGTCCCGCACCGCTCGCGCGCCGCCTTTTATAGCCTCGGAAAACCGCGGCCAATCGGAGCTCGAAGCGTCCGTTACGTCACCAGTCTCCGGGCAAAGCGGGAAAGCCGAGGTTGTGAGAGCCGTCTGCGCGCCTGCGCATGGCGGGCAGAGGGGTATGTGCCCTTTCACTTTCGTTTCCGCGCTGGGGCGGGGCGGGGGGTCTGGGGGGCGCCGGCCACGGGCCGGGGGGGCACTGGCACCTGACTTGTACCTGCTACAGTGTGTCCACAAGCACAGGTCAGCGATAATCCCTTGTACTGGGTACTGCTGAGGTCACACCTTGAGTCCTGGGGTGAGTTCTGGGCCTCTCATGACAAGAAGGACATTGAGGGGCTGGAGCGTGTCCAGAGGAGGGAACAGAGCTGGGGAAGAGTTCTGGAGCACCACGAGTGAGGGAGCTGGGGGGGCTTAGCCTGAAGAGGAGGCTCAGGGAGACCGAGGGTGGAGCCAGGGCAGGGGTTCAGGCTCTGCTCCCACGGAACAAGACAGGACAAGAGGAAATAGCCTCAAGT